TACAGCCTGCTACTAATCGATCGAACTGGCCACCCATTAGATCCGGATTCACGTTAACATGTTCCTCACCTTCAAATGCACCGGGCAACCACCCCTTTACACTCCCTCCGCCCTTCCCAATCCATCATACTGAACCATCCGTCTCTAAAGATGCTTCCAACACTGTTTTCGTGACAATGCATTCATAAATCATTGCTGATCCCAAATGGTAGAATGAATTACCAAATTTCTCCGCTACCAACGATCTCTCAATATACCTCCCAAATATATCTAAAAACTCTTTTCTTTTTTCTTTTCTTTTTTTTTTTTGGGGGGGGGGGGGGTGTTTTATTGACTTCGTATGATTTAATGCTTGACATTCCAATGATTTTTTTTTTAAACCCCGCTCGCCCGCCCCTACTCAAGAAAAGCAATCGAGGACAATCACTTTTGTATGGCTTAAACATTTACATAATAATATTATGTAGAGTGATGTCATGTAATGTACATACATAACCGCAGCAATACTGACTGAATCGGTTTATTGTCATTAAAAAATAAACTGAACCTGAAGCCAGAAGGGCTAAAACTGTACAATTTACACTGAAGCACACCATGCGGAAAAAAACAGATACAAAAATCAAGAAGTAATTAGATATCAATCATTTTAGGAACATGGGGGTAATTGTCCTCGTGGGTGAATGTCCACCTTTTCCTTTTTTTGGAGAAAAAAATTTCAATTACCAAAAATATTTGTGTAAAATATTTGTTTGAGTTTTGGATCATGTACAGCTTCTTCAACGACATCTTTGAGCGAACAGCCGGCGAAGTTTCCAATCTTCATGCCTCGAAGAAGTTGTACTGAGTTAAATTTCACTTGAATCGATACAAACTTAGTCTACATCGATTGTAATTTAAAAAATTCAGAGTTGTTATACGTATGGAATAATAAATAAAAATTTAAATAATGTTAAAAAAAATCATCTCAAATGTGGTTTAACAATTTCAAATTAACAATATTTTTTTTAATAGATTTCTACAATAAAACCACAATTTTCAAGATTAATCTAGATTAATCGTAAATAATTGCATTAAATATAACCGCTTAAAAAATAGTTTTTTTGTAAGTATAAATATATACAAAGCAATTTTAACGTGATTTTAGCACTACTTATATTAGTGATATATTTTGGAACGGATGGCGATTTGATTGTCGCGATCCTAATAATAATATCATTTAAGATGTATATAGCACTGGTATACAAATTCAGTTTCTTAGCGCTTTCCAAAACAAATGAAATGAACAGTGCGGTACCAGTTAATCTACTGTGAATCCCTTTAGTATATCATTTGCACATGACACAAATAATGTTTAGGCAACCTTCCCTTCCCCAATCAATCGAACTGGCCACCCAGTAGATCCGGATTCACTTCAAGATATTCCTCACCTTCAAATGCACCGGGCAACCACCCTACACTCCCTCCGCTCTTCTCAAGAAATCATACTGAACCATCCGTCTCTAAAGATGCTTCCAACACTGTTTTGGTGACATGGCATTCATAACTCAGTGCTGATCCCAAACTCTAGAATGAACTACCAAATTTCTTTGCTACCAGCGATCTCTCAATATACCTTCCAAATATATCTAAAACCTCATTTTTTTTGTGTGTGTTTTATTGGCATCGTATGATTTAATGCTTGACATCCCAATGAAATTTATTTTAAACATTATTTAAAACAAAACCCCGCTCGCCCGCCCGCCCCTACTCCAGAAAAGCAATCGAGGACAATCACTTTTTTATGGCTTAAACATTTACATAATAATATGTGGACTGATATCATGTGATATTCATACATAACGGCAGCAATACTGACTGAATCGTTTTATTGTCATTAAAAAATAAACTGAACCTGAAGCCCGAAAGGCTGAAAATATTCAATTTATTCTCTGAATTTACAATGAAGCACACCATAAGGGGTAAAAAAAAAAAAAAGAAAATCAAGAAGTAATCAGTTATCAATCATTTTAGGTCACAGGGGATAATTGTCCTCGTGGGTGATTGTCTTTTGTTTCCGGGGGGGGGGGGGGATGGTTGTCCGTAGGGGGATATTATCCGGGGGTAGCTTTTCGGGGGGGGGGGGGGAGTGATTTATTCCAGGGGGGGGGGGGTGATTGCCTAGGGGGTTATTGTCTTGATACGCGATCCATCTTACTAGATATAAGGTCATCACGTCAAAAGTTGAATGTAAGGTGTGTAGTTGAAATGTTTCCCAAAAATATTTGTGTAATATATTTGTTTAATTTTGTGGATCAACAGCTTCGTCAACGTCATCTTCGAGCTAATAGTCGGCGAAGTTTCCAAAAGCCAGAAGTTGTACCGAGTTAAATATTAATTTGGAATCGATACAAAATTTAGTATATATCGATTGTAATTACAATAAATTACAGACTTGTTAGCCAGCAGGGAAAATTAAAGTAGATTCTTATTACTGATAAAAAAACTCATTAAATTAATATACAAACATTTTTTTTAATTAATTTTTTTTTAAATAAAACCATAATAATTCTTAGAATGAATCTAGATTAGTCTATTGCATTAAGTATAACTGCTTTAAAAACATTTTTTTTAATTTTAAATTTATTTTATGTTGACAAATTTGACGCATTTGATCAACACGAAGTTGAAATCTTATATTTTGGAACGGGTTAGCGATTTACTAGTCGCGACCCTATAAGCCAGCACGAGTTAAATGTAAGATAAATTCCACTAGTACGCAGTGCACATGGTAGTAATTTTGTTTTGGGAACATTCCCTCCTCATTGTACGTCAGTTCTGTTGATGTAGCTCTGCTACGCCCTGCTTCTAGTAACAAACTGGCCATCCATTAGATCCGGATTCACTATAAAAATACTTCTCACCTTCAAGTGCACCGGGCAACCGCCCCTATACCCCCCCCCCCCCCCCCCCCGCTCTTCCCAATCCATCATACTGAACCATCCGACTCTCAAGATGCTTCCCACACTATTTTGTTGACATGGCATTCATAACTCAGTGCTGATCCCAAATTGTGGAATGAACTACCAAATTTAAAATTTCTTTGAGTGATATAAGGCGCACGTTAGAACACGTTTATGAACAATAAATATTATTTTATTGTTAATACTATTATTATCATTAATATTATCATTATTATTATTATTATCATTATTATTATTATCAGAAGTAGTAGTAGTAGTAGCAGTAGTAGTAATGGTAGTAATAGTAGTAGAAGCAGTAGTAGAAACAGTAGTAGAAGTAGTAGTAGAAGTAGTAGTAGTATTAGAAGAAGAAGAAGAAGTAGTAGTAGTAGTAGTAGTAGTAGTAGTAGTAGTAGTAGAAGTAGTAGTAGTAGCAGTAGTAGGCTTAGTTGTAGTAGTATTTTAAATATTATTTTCGAATGTCTAACTTCAATTATTGTGTTGGTACCCCTGGTAACTGTAGGTTTATTATCAATTTAAATGAAGAAAACGAATCGTGCTCGTTGAAGCTTGCCACTTCTTTTTTGCATTTTTTTATTTGACGCTAACCGATTGACGAAAGATAAGGCATGCTATCACCAAAATCTTTCTTATTAAAGGTAATAGTTTTGGGAAATTTTGAAAATTGGCTGGATAGTGATTCTTTACAATTTTGATATATTTGGATGCCCCTGTGGATGTTTTAAAAGCACTAGGAAATGTAGCCCCTAAAACACTTCTGCTTTCGAGATAAATTGAATATCAAAATTTACCGGTGCTCCCGGTAAATGTTAATGAATTTCAAGTAGCGCCTACGGCCATACAATGGTAGCTGCGACTATGAAAATCTCAGAATATGTAGTTGTGATATATAATTTTCTAACGGGAATAGCCAATCGGTCGATTTTAGTCAAGAAGCATTGTTTTATAGCTAAATTATTATATTGACCTTGAGAGGGAGCTATACAACATAAACAGTTTATTATTACAATTTCATCACTTTAGACTCGATTTCAACCGCGACAACGATCACTGAATATTGTAGGATCGCATATGCTTCCAATATGTTCATTTGAACCAAATTTATGACCCATACCAAACCGTTGTATTACCTTTAATCACCGTGAGAGTATAGGCACATTTATGGACAATCATATAAAAATCTGAGAAGTCTAGAAGAATAATGGTGTGAAAAAAGAGTAATTTTCATTTGACTCTATAGCATGCACTCTCAATATTTCCAGAAGTGGAATTCCACCCTAAATATACGGTGGAATCCACTATCAGAAATTCGCCAATGATTTTGGAGCGCGAGAAACGAAGCGATCCCGAACATGACTCTTAAAAATATTAGATTTCTGGCTCAGAGCGTTCTGTCATTGCGCCAAATTATGACGTAAAGGGCAATCCAACCCTTGTTATCATTTGATTTGTATGAAAGCAGAAAATAATAGAATCAGAATGGCAAAAGTTTAAAATGAATCGGACAAATAGTAAGGAAGTTATGGATGTTTGAAATATGAGATCACTAAGTCTATGCGAATTTCACTTTGGTAGTTTGGTCAGTGGATTGTGACGTAGGACGTGGATAATTCTCCCATTAGCCGTGTACAAAAATATCACAAATTTCAGTTTTTCTCGTAAGTTTCTTCCACCTTGGGGCACTTCTCAAATATATTATTATAGGTCCTCTAAACAGAATAGACCCTCCTTAGCCATGATTTTTGTTTTTAATGCGACTCATGTAGATTCCCACCCCGTTACTTTAAATTTATGTGATATACATGTATGATAACGTAAGAGTTTAAAATGCAACAGGGGACCGACGGCGTTAGGCCATCTTCGAGGGACGTGGTATAATGAGGAATAATGCCTTACCAAAGGTCCCTTTAGCGAATCCACTTGGTTTGAACCCGTGTTCTCCCCTTCACGCGACCACCGCTTCCTCTTCAATAATTAATAGTTCAAACTTCATTTTCTAATTTTCTTCACTCTCTACCCCTTGTATTTTCTCTCCCCAAGCCGTCGATGAAGTCGTCGTTACACGATGTCAAGTATTACAGGACGCAGCTTGAAGGCCACATTGAACCGAGCATCCACCTCGAGGCCACCCTGAAGAAGTCGTCATGGAAGAAGGCGGTGAAGGTCCTCGCCCCCGTCAAGGAAGTCATCGAGGACCTCAAAGAAGACCTCCACTCCGCAAAAACCGAGTGAGTCCTTGTGATGTTCGATCAGATTTAAAGCCCATCTGTACTAATGTACAGAAGGGATTAGACCACCATGCAAGGTCACTGGACAGTGGTTATCTCCACAAATCAGCTCTAAATCAACATAAGAAAAAGAGGATCGTGCACAGTTAGAACGGTGTTTAAAATATCACTGTTTAAAAGAATGTTGTTTAAAAACGTAAACAACGTTGTTCAAAATCGAAAAATCAGTGCTCAATTGGCTTAAACAACTATCTATTGAAAAACAAAAAGATTTAATTAAACAGAGTTGTTTAAAAAGTACCGGGGAAAAATCACGTGATAGATTTAACCAATCATGATTTCGCGTCGTTGATATTTTCTCGATACGCGATTGCAATTTGTGCGCACACATGCGATATGCACAAAGTACGTACATAGTACATGCATGCAAGCATGCAGTGCTAGTGTGCAGTGCTAGTGCAGTGCAGTGCAGACGAAAATGGCGGAACAAGGGCAAGGCGCCAATTTGGTTCTTCTCGGCTTCGCCGATGGGGTTTAGGTGAAGTTATTGAGATAATTAATAATGTTGTCTGTCACTATTAAATGAATATGATGAACAAATGTTGAAGTAAATTGGCAACAAGCTCTACATGTTACAATGTAATCGTTGTGATTATTGCAGGAGTGGTTCCAGTAGGTAATTTCACAAATTCAAACAACCAGATAACCATTAAACAGTTCTGTTTAAAATTTAAGCAACTCCTTTTAAACAACCCAGTTGTGCAGTAATATTGAATAAACAACAGTTGCTTAGTAATTTAAACATTATTGTTTAGCATTTACACAACTTGCTTTAAACAACCGAGTTGTGCAATTTTATTACTAAACAACTGTTGTTTCAAAGTTTTTCTAATTTTTAAACACCTAATTGTTCAAAACGTAAACAACCTTAAGTTGTTTAATTTTTAAACAACAGTTGAGCGATTCACCGGTTAACTTGTGGTTGTTTAATTTTAAACAACTTGTTTAATTTTTTTCTAACAGTGTGGGGACCGATGGTCATCGATTTAGCATTGTTTATTATATAGAGGGCGCAAGTAGCTATAAGTAGTGCAGTAGGGCTTTACTTGTTGTTTTTCTAATACCTAAGCTTCAGGCATGAAAATCACTCTCTGTTAACTATAGCTCAATTATGAAAGATAATTATCAGACTGAGGAAGTAGTCGTGATATTTGATCAGATTTGATTATTATTCTATACAGTAAACTTCAGACATGCGATTTAAAAAAAAAAACCTCTAATCAGTTTATCATGAATTTTGTTTGATGTTAATTTAAACATTTTTCTTATACAAACTACAGTAGGCGGACATGTATGAAAGCTAAATAGAGCAAGAGGGATTACCACTTTTGAAAATTCCGGCTCCCGACCCCCACCCCAACAAAGAGCAAATTGAATTGAAACAAAAACTAGAATGAATAAATGAAACACATCCAACCACTTTCGAAAATCAATTTCAGTAGTCTTGTGCGTCGCCTATTGAAATGTGCGAACATGGCGAAGACGTTTTGCGCAATCTAAACATTATTTCTATTGGGTTTGCAATAGTGTATTGAACTTGGCCTTCAGTTGAGTTTTCGAAAGTAGTTTTTATTTTTGTTATGAATAAAAAAAATAGTTGAATGAATAGAGTATGAATATATGAATATACACATAATTATAGCTGAATAAATAGATAAATAAACAAATGAATAAATAAATGAATAAGTAAATAGATATCACCAAAATAAACCATCAGTCCATACATTCTATTACTTGCCATCGAACAATTCATTAGTGCATCACGTCAAAAATAATACGACAAAAGAAAACAATTTGACCCCCTTTTTAAGGACTGGTGTCAATAATTGTGATACGTTAAGCCTCTAAATAATTGTATATAAATACACTCTGTCTTCTGAACATCCCAACCTTTATTGCAGTTTCCTCAAGGCCTTCATCTCAGAAAAAGTAGGTGGTGTCCTGCTGCTTTCTAAATTCCTGAGCCAAACCCAGGAGTTGATAGAGAAGGACAGGAACCAACAGAATGCCAACAACTCAGCATCGATCCAGTCAGCAGGTCGCACCTCAACGCTGGATAAAAAACTACTCAAACTTCTTGAAAACATCAAACGCACAACAGTAAGTCAGTAAAATAAGATTCAAAATTAACCTTTTTCTGGTGCCTAACTTAAGCCGGGTTGGTATTGAAATGGTTTTAGGACCGCTTATCAATGATTAGCGTTTCACAAGAGACCCAAATATTATGTTAAAATAATAATTAAAATTATCTTGTTTTCACTACCAGAAATCCATGTATTGGTGCTAGTATAGTGATTTAATTATGTTATTTGTATACACATACCACAATGCTTTCTCTATGAAGATTACAACAAATTAAAGTAGCATAGTTTATCTAAGGGAAAAAAGAATTTGTTACAACTTTCCTATATATTTGTATTACTTTATTATGTACAAGACATCTTATACTTCAATCTTTAATTAAGTGTAGCATTGAGATAAGCAGATTCGGTCTGTCTAGTATGGTACATTTTTATGGTTCGCATTTAATTTCCTTTATCTTAGGTGGAAGAATCAGACGCAATGAATTGCTTGCGAAAAATATCTGAAGACAAGGTGAGTAATTATTATTATTATATTTAGTATTGCTATTATTATAATTATTTTGTTAATATTATTGTTATTATTACCATTATTAATTAATATTATTTTCATCTTTGTTTATTATTATCATCATTTTCTTTGTTTCCATTTTTGTTATTATCATTATCATTTTCATAATTGTTCGTATTATTATTATCAATTATTATTGTTGTTAACATTATTGTCGTTATTAGTATCATTATTATCATCATTGTTTTTATTATTATTATTATTGTTATCAATCATTATCATTATTATCATTGTCATCACTGTTATTATTATAATTATTATTATTATTAGTAGTAGTAGTAGTAGTAGTAGTAGTAGTAGTATCATCATCATCATCATCATCATCATCATTATTATTATTATTATTATTATAACCATGATTAATATTATTATTATAATAATTTGAAGTAAATAATCTGTTGATGATGTTGTCACTTTGACTTTCTGATTGTTTTTTTTTTACCATCAGGAGGGGCTAGCGATCATTATGACAGCACCAGAGGTGTTAGAAATAATCACATCCTGTATAGTCAGTAGATCTCTATCAGCTCGGCTCTATGCTTTCATGGTAAGTCAAGTCAGATTCTCAGAACCCAAACGATGAAATGAATTAGTCATTGAAAAACAAAGAAATAAGCAATCGGCATCATGATTGATTTAATGAGAAGTAAAATGGATTAACTTTAGATTGAAAGAAAAATGTTTTAGAGCCTGGTCTGAAGCAAGTAGGACAGTGATGCAATAACTTATATTTATATTTATTTATTAATTTTATTTATGCTATCACACCTTTGTGAGGATTACTATTATGATTAAGTGATGGCATCGCTTTCATTATGTGTATGATTATCCTGAATTAAAAAAGGGTTTATTGATTTAGCCAATTAGGCGTACTTAATACGATATCACTGTGGATGTTGATTTATTTTAACGGGGACCTGTTAGTGATGAAGAAAACATTGATAAGTGGATTTTTATTAAACGACGACCTTTTCAAACTGTAATAAGACCCCCTTTCGAGTATCTATAATAATAATAATATCTAAGATTCATATAGCGCTGGTATACAGATACAGTTTCTTAGCGCTTTACAAAACAAATCTATAATAAAAAAATACTTTTTTAATTGACTCTGGCTGTTAGACAGGATATCCGTACATGAACCAGTTTTATGCCCTATTTATATCCAGGTTTTGATCGCAGTTTGTGAATCAAGAGACGGTCTGAACCGAGTGCTTACCGCCTTGACTAAGTTCCGAGTGAAGATCCGTGAGAAGGTCCGCTTCTACGCCGTCACTCAGATGATTTTCCTGGAGAAATCGAGGGTAGAACTGGTGGTAAGTCTTCTCATTCTCGTCTTCAACGAGGGGAGGGGAGGGGATGAAGTCCTCATTAATAGGGGCGTCACTGAAGTGCGGAGGGGACTGTCGGAATTCTCGATTTTTAGAGTACATTTATCTTTCGACGCCCCTGCACATGCAGACGTGGGGAATTAAGATCTGATTTTTTTTTTACTGAAAATTGTTATTAAAATAATTACTCATCAAATTAAGTCGAATATACAGCAGAGTTGAGGTGTACTGATAGGCCTTTTCATCGATAATACTGTTTTTTTTTAATCAATTACATATTTCATGACGATTATTTTACGGCGACGATCAATATTGAAAACAAATTGCTAGACTTGCAAGAAAATAGTATGATCAAAGTGTATGTGTGGTTTAAAGCATAAGCAATAGTTTTCTTTTATGCAGTGTCGAGATAACTTTTATTCATATTTCGCAATGCAATCGTTCTTATTGTTTGAAGAACGACGCAACAAGCGTAACAGAATATAAAATGTGAGAATATACCCCTTTTCTCTCTCTCTTTCTAGACGATTTGTCTTCGATTTATCAACACGATGCTTAGTTCTACCACGGACATGAATAGACGAGTCTACTTGCAATATGAGCTGGAGATGGCCGAGTTCAATCCAATCAAATTAGAAAGGGTAAATAATTCTCTTCTTCGATTAGTATTTCATGGACCCTCTCCTACTTATTTCTGTTTTGCTACTATTAATATCCTCGTTTTATACGAATCTGTTTTATTGATTTAAAGAAGATAAACTACAAACAAAATACGTCCTTGAAATTCACATCGTAAACGCATTTTCTTTTTTCTTTTTTTAAATCTATGTCTGTTCATGTTTTTTTGTAATTCTTTTTTTACATACTTTTTTATCGGATCCAATTTTATTGCCTATGCTGTACTTCTTTTTTTGCTCTTTTAATCTTCTTCCCTCAATATTTTTTCTTTTAAAGGTAGTGTATCCCTTTTACAGCCAACATCAAATTCTGTAGAACTTTGCAGAAATTACGAATATTTCACGTATGTCCTATCTGTGGGTCTGAAAATCAGACTATTTAATTAAATGAGCACGCTCGCTAAATTCGATTCGATAACTGACGGTCGTTATTTTCCGACAAAAAAAATATTTGCAAGCCCTTTCTAGGACCTTTAAGATAAGCACAATCACACAAATAAAATAAAAAATAAAAAAAGATAAACAATATCGAAAGGACTACGAAATCTACGTACGATCAACTTTAGATTGCCTTTTGAAGATGTTGTTGTTGTTTGTTTTGTTGTTCAGATGATGTAATCATTGTGAGTAGACGAGGCAATCGAAATTGCCTAGTTTGATTTTCTGACAGATTTTGCGATCATGTTGATAGCAGTGTAATTTCATTAGTCATTGACTCTGTTCATAACGTCTTCCTTTTGACTTTTTTTTCCTATGTAGATATATCGTCTGGAAGGCGAATTGCCGCCATCGATCAAATTGGAGTTAGACGCATGGCACAGTCGTTACATCAGTATTCAAAGACTTCAAGAAAATCTAACGACAATCGAGACAAGGAACGCTCTGTTGAGAAAAGAGGTAACCGTACTGTCAAGAAAAATGTTTTAAAAGAGAAGATTTTAGATATAAATAAAGATTCCGATATGATTTTTTAGTATCAACTGTAGGTTTTTTTCAAAGACATCTTCTGGAAGTCTGGAATGACTCCTGCTTTCAGCTAAACATTATGATAGGAAAATAGAATCTCGACCCATGCAAAAGTAGGTTCTCAGTTTCGAAAACTGAATGAAAGATGATAATAATTTTTTTAAAGGAAAATATGATACTGTTTAAAAAGTTATTATCTTTGGTTACAAGAAGCAACGAAATGAAAAGAACACATTTATGTGAATAATGTGCGTTATTGATCAAAGACTATTCGGACTATCTTTTGAACATAATCTTCGGGCCAATTTTCTATGTTTTGAATAGGGATCAATAAAAATATCTTAATCATTTTCTTCTTTTTATTTTACAGGTTGACCGACAAGGATCTCGCATGTCAGACTACGAGTATGAGAACAAGGCGTTACAAACCAAAATTCTAGATGTAAGATTCAACCAATTTTTCTCTCTATATAATTTATCTTGTGTAATGCTATATCACATCAATGAACGAAATTTTTTAGCAAACAATATATTCGTTAATATTTATTGGACCAAGTGAGTCGGCTATAAAATGATACTTGATGATGGGTGTTTAAAAAAAATGAAGGGAAATTGGCTTACCTTTGTTTTGACATAACCCGTTGATAGGTCAATCATTTATTATGAACTGCCTCATATATTCATTTATTTATTGGTACAAACCAAAGGGTCGGATTGATATAATAAATACATTTTCAACATGATTATTGGTAAATTATGAATATAATTCAATGTAGATCATAAATACAAAGAACATTACAAATCATTCGGGTATATCATATTACAAGTAAATAATTACAAGAAAAAAGGAGACAACATAAACTTGAATAGAGAAGAAAAGGGAGCAAGAGAGGTGAAAAGAAAAGAAAAGTAAAGACATATCATATGAGCCCCATGTTTGGTGAGATATATCGAGATCCGTATAAAATAAATTACTGTTTCCTCTCATTTCGCAGCTCGCTTCAAGGTCAGATGACTACAGGGACAGGGTCAACGAACTCCAAGACACCATCGAAAAATTGACGGTAAGACATGAATGATCAGATTATGATTTGGATTTATTCATCATTTTCTGATAATGTGATAGATCTTTAGAGGATTATCATGGAAACACAAGACTTGGCTGCACTAACATAAAACTGGTTATATTTCAACAAAAGTACTTGGAAATGATAAGAGATACCAAGAATTTTTTTGTAAAGACAATTCATAGTTCAGAGATATGAGTACAAAGTGGGTCCCATCTAAAGAAGGAATTAACACTTTGGAAAACTACAGGTATAGCTCCATGTCAATTTAAACAAAATAACAAGATGCTGCTTCGTAGATGTGATGATTCTCTGGATTCACCTCTTCCCGCGAATTCACCTTCACGTTGTGTCCCTGAGGATGAATACTGATTGGTACTCTTAACATATAAACACACATTTCATCTTGGTCTCGTTTGCAGAGGGAATACACCAAGAAGACAGGGCAGCATGCGGAGAAACAGTTCAGCAACTTCAACAGCCTGATGAAACCTCTGGAACCCGAACAGGAGGGCGACGAGGTGACCGTCATCATCGAACCTCAGAAGACCGGGGAAAGGAAACTCGAGAGGAAGAAGTCGGTCCTCGGTGACAAGAAGAAAGAAAGTAAGTTTGAATCCCTCATTGTTTTTAAATGCATTTCCTTACACATGTTTTTATTGCATTTAGAAGAGTTCCCAAACATGTTACAGAAGGCCTTCATTCTTCTTTTAAATGATTGAATAAACGAATGAATAATTATATGTAAAAATAAATATCAGATACATGTAAATATAGATAAATAAATGCATGAAAAAATGAATGCAGAAATAAACAAGTCGATAAGTAAATAAATGAATTTTCATCTTTGAGAACTTTTTAGTTCTTTAATAGATTTTAGCCCAGGCAAATGAAAAAATATGACTTGTATTGCTTGCTGCACAGTTTTTGCTGTGTGAATCTTGCGGGCCCGTGCGTGTATGTGAGTAATTGGGTTTTTACAGACGTGTATCAATCAGATATGATTATTTACGTTTGGGCACCGACCTTTAACGTCATCATCCGAAAGACGTGACTCAGTTTCGAACCTGCGTTCTCGGCTGAATCAGTTACCTTGTTCTGTAACCGGCAAAGTACCTTGTTACCTACCTTGTAAATAAGATGTGTACTTATGTTTTTCACACTTTTGGTCCCAGCCCACCCCATTTTAATCTTTCAAGTAATGCCCTTGCTCTGAGTCTCTTTTCGATTAACTTGATATTGATGAAGACAAAAATTAGGTGAATGACAGACAACATTCTCTCTGACGTCCCTATGCCAATTTGTAATATGTTCCCATCTGCTTCTGTTAGCAAGTTTTGTGCACATTCTTATATGTTATTCATTGTTATCTCCTGCCAGTGGAGGCCAAATTTCTGTGTTTTTTAACGTGGACAATAAAATATGAATCTGAATCTGAAGTTCTATTTGGTGATGAGCTTCATTTTACATTAACGATATTCATGGTTCCTACTTCAGTTATCGGCTGTGTGAATCTTGCGGGCCCCTTGTTCTGTTACCAGCAAAGTACCTTGTTTAAATACTTCCCTTTTAAATAAGATGTGTATTTGTGTTTTTCACACTCTTGTAACATTGTTCAATGAAACATTATTACGAACCTGTTTTGATGCTGTCTTTGCAGTTGTGATTTCCAAGCCCGCAGCGAAGAAGAAGTCCCAGGCACCGCCCCCTCCCACACCGCCACCCACCCCTGAAATACCATCCAGCCCAAGCAAACCAGGCGTGCCCGGCGTGCCCTTGCCTCCGCCTCTAATGGGAACCAGTAAGTACGATGCCCTTTTTTAAATAACGTCCCACGCCCCCACCTCTTATGGGAACCAGTATAAGTACAATGCCCTTTTTTAAATAACGTCCCCTGAAAGCCTAAAGGGTCTTGACCCATTTACTTTTTCGTAGAGCTATAACGCCCTTCTGGATCTCAATTAACTCTCTATCAGACGACTTGTTTAGACGTGATTCTCTAGCTCGATCGTCCATCCACTTCTTGGAGTATTTCAATTTTCAGATTGAATTTAAGGTTTCAGAATTAACTACTCTTTTACATTCTCATGATAATTGTCTCCGTCTAACTTACTTTAAAATATATTTACCTGGTCTTCATGATCTCCCATTTAATTATAGACAATAAACCGCCGATATAACTGGAAAATATAGAACTTGAGACTTTCTTGACACATAACGAGAAGATTACAAGCCAAATTTGAAATGGAACCTCGTTTTTCGGGAGCAGCCAATCTAAACATGTACATTTGTTTTTAGTTTACAAAGAGGTTTATCATAGGAAAGTAATATGTTTGCTAAAATGTTTTTCTACATCTCATACTTGTTGGAGATGTCAACTGGATTATCGATAGACCACAGGCAAACCTGTCTTAGTGGCAACCTCTCTATAAAGACCACCTGTCTCAGTGCCACTTTTCTAATTCCATTGGGTGGCCTTTAATAGACAGGTTTGACTGTGTATATTGTGACAATCAATTAATTTGTAATTTTAATCGCATAAATTATTTTTTTCAGTGAGGAAGAATAGGAACCGACTGATGTCCAAACATGCCTTGCCAATGCTCAACTGGAACACCATCAAAACACCAGGAAATACAATTTTCAAGGTAAAATGCATTCTGTCCTTTTCCTGGAATCTTATTGTATCTGACAATGTACTTTACTTCAATTGCTGCCTTAAACTGATAGTATATATTTGAAAGATCAAATATATTTAGTTAGAAAGAGAGAGAGAGAGAGACGATCGCAAAGACACTAGAAATCAACTCACGAACAATTTCCACACCCTCTTGTATTGCCTATTGCAATCACACTCATATTGATAATGTAGGCTAGCTTATGATCAATTTATCAATGTCATGTTTGCACTTCTTAAAATATGATGCACATGAAGGCTATTGTAGCAGTCTTCGGTAAGTAATTTAATGTATATGTGTATGTTTCAGCAATGTTTCTTTTTTTCTATCTTGAATTCGTATTGCATCGATTCTTTGGAAAACATAATTTCCACTTTATGTGTATAAGAATAAATCAATTCTCAATGACCAATGATCTGTTAATCAATTTCAATCCTGAATTTATCTAAACCATTAAATTAAAATGATTGACTATTGAGTGAATTAAGGACTATGATAATGGTCCAGAGATGAGAGACAATTAGAGATATTGCGATAGTCAAATTTGCTGTTTTTCTTAACGCCCCCATTTTCCAGGTATTGGATGACGAGAATGTCTACGATGAGTTGGACTTCGAGGACTTTGAGAATCATTTTAGATTAAAAGAAGCCTCGGCGTCGACCGCGACGATGGATAAACTTAGAAGAATTCAGGAGAAAGAAGCGCTGAAGGTCCGGGTCGTCGGCGACAATCGCGCCAAAAATCTGAGTAAGAAATTGTCGACGACTGAATAATCATGCTAATTGAGAAGCCTGCATAGTTTCATTTCAACTTTAAAAGATTGCTTTCTGTGTTAACGCCCTTTTGATGATAAAAAATAGTTTAAAATTGTTAGCATAAAGTTTGACGGACAGACTTGAGTCATAAAGCTCAAGCGGCATACATTATCTGTGCCCACAGAACTGTGGACACAGATATCCTCATGGTGTGAGAGTGTCACAGTTTTACAACACAGCAGAAAAGGAACTCTTCTTGTTGTACAACATAATCTAAACACACCTTGAACATAATAATTGTTGTTATCTGTGTGGTTACAATATGTCAACAATTTGATACACTTTGGTTACATATTTAACCAAAGCGTGACCACATGGTAAAGTGTTGAACGCATTTACAATGGGGGCAGTAGGAACACACTGTGTTCGTAGTGTGGCTTTATATGTGTGGCTATCATCCTGCCAATAAAAACTGTTTATGTGCACACAAAACTGTGTTGGACAGATAGAATCATAGCGAGAATGTATCACAGACTTACCACACAGTATAATATATAATCTTTTCATTTTATATATATTCTAAACACACTGTGTTCATAGTTATTGTGGTTATCTGTGTGGCTAAACTATGTAATCAGTTTGATGCACTGTGGTAACAGATTTAACCATAGTGTATCAGCAACACAATGTGCAACCACCCGGCAAAGTTTGAACTCAATCACAATGAGGGCAATGGAAACCCACTGTGCTCATAGTGTAACTTTCTGTATCACGGTGTTACCACAGAGCATAATAGCAAATCTTCTTATTGTATAAAATAAAAACACACTGTGTGCATAATCAGTGTGGTTGTCTGTGTGGCTACAATAGGTTAACAGTTTGATGCACTCTGGTTACATATTTAACCACAGTGTATCCATAACACAGTGTGACCACGTGGCAAAATTCACAATGAGGGCAATTGGAACATATTGTGTTCGTAGTGTGACTTCATGTGTGGCTAGTTTTACACAGTGTACCAATAAAGGATAATAGTGAATGCATTACATTATGACTGCATGATGGAATGTGAACTCTTTCATAGTGTGGACAATGTGAGGACACTGTGTTAATATTTGTGGTTTTCTGCGTGATTTCTATATTCTTTTAATCATAAATCTTACATCACCCCCCCCCCCCCCAAAAAAAAAAAAACGCATCCCATCCATTGTGGCTAACTTGTTTAAATGTTTAATCTTTGTATTTTCAGTCATCGCACAACGTCGGATCGGGTTAGCTCCGAAGGATATCCGAGGCTTCGTCGATCGCTGCGACACCACAGGTGTGCCCGGGGAATATGCCGAAATTCTCCTCAACTTCGTTCCTACAAAAGAAGAGGTAATTACGGTTCGTTGATATTGAATAATGGCGTAACATTTAGACACGATCGCAAAGAATGCAATCTCAGTCGTCTTATCCATCAGCTATCGAAGTGTGTGAACACAACGACGTATTAAGTAATCTGAACATGATTTCTATATGGAATGTACAGTAGGGTATAGAAATTGCCCTTTAATTTATTTCTTAAATGCTTTGCTACCGTGTTTTATTCAGTAGAGATAATGTTTTGGGACCACAAGCGCCTGAACCGAACATTTTGATTTGCGCTGTATTGGTACCTCGACTTTAGCATTGTTATGAAATATATTATATGTTTCGTCCCCAGCTCAAGAAACTGGCAAACAATGCAGATAAATATGAGGAGATGGGAGAGGCAGAACAGTTTATGTTCCAGGTATGTGTTTAATTTATATACATTTACTCTTAGAGGAATAAAGTCAAGTAGTCAACTTCTAATGATAATTGGATATCACTATGGAGGTGTTTTTTGCGTTTGGAATTATATATAGTTGAATAAAACTTTTAAAAAGTATCTGTTCGATTTGGTTGCATATTTGCGTAATAAAATACAGGCTGAGTTGTTCGTTCATTTACTTGTAACTGACACTATTTACATCCCTTATCGTTTCAATTTGTGATGCATAAACCTCTAGACATGAGTATAACCATTTGTATCTAAAAAATGTATTGCTATCAAGATTATCACCTACGTTATCACCAAGCGCAACAAAAATTGTTGTCATTTCATTTTCAGGAAAATAATTATGCGGTAGAGCCGACTCTGCATGTTATTCTTAATACTTTTTTTTCATTGCAAGAAGACGTTATTCTCTCGAATACAATCAAAGCAGTGTATTTCAACATCAATTATACCAAAGAGAATAAACACTTAGTCGATGTCGACGCTTAAAGTTATATGTGAAAACTTGTCAAGTATAACAGTTCTTGTGTAAAATCAAAAATCACTATGATGAACGACAATATTGTAACTGAAAATCCATACAATTCTGATTAACAATGTTTATTTTTCACCATTGATAGATGGCTAGGGTGGACCGATACGAATCGAAGCTGAGGTTAATGACCTTTATGGGCATCTATGGCGAGCTGGTAGTCACACTCAAACCAGTAAGTCTTCTTCTTAATATTTTTGTATCACTCAAATTATTGTGTACACATATTTGGTTGGAGGGTAAAAATAGTAATGACTCTTGTTCCTTTTTTCTTCCTCATTCTGTTCGCCCTCTTTCTCCTCCTCCTCTAGCTTCCTCTTCTTCTTCACCATCATCATCATCAGCATCATCATCATAATCATCATCATCAATATCATCATCATCATCATCATCATCATCATCTTATTCTTCTTCTTTTTCTTCGTCTTCTTCGTTATCTTCTTCTTCTTTTCTACTTATCATCATTACCATTATTTTTTATTCTTTGTATTAATTATTACTTTTAATGCTTTTTCCTACCTAGACATTTCGTTCCTCTTCTGCTTCATATAATTCTTCCATTCCCCCTCTATAAAGCTACAGCCGTGACAGTTTTTGTCATCTATGCTACATAGGCTTGCTCTCTAAAAACGATTATCATTATGAATAAAATGAATCGCTTTAGCTACCGCGTAGCTGTTGTCATTGATATTATCTTCATAATATTATTTTGATTGCATAAATTTCAAAATTATTTCAGGAGATACAAGCGATCGTCAAAGCATGCGATTCCATCGTTACAAGTGGGAAACTAAAGAAACTACTCGAGGTAAGTAATGGAATGGATTATGTAAAGTGATTTCATAATACCTCGGTAATCGGATGAATTCAAATGATTAAACAAAAGCAAACAGAAGCAAATATAAGCAAACGAACGGCACCAGCAAAATATCTAAAATTTAAAATCTCAATTCTCAATTCAGCTTCTTTTGAGTAAATACCATCGATGAAAATATTTTCCGTGGCAAGACGTTATTAATTATATTCTAATGAATGGAATTATTTTAGTCCACATTATGTTTTATGAAATATTAAAGAAGAGATTGGAGAGAGGGAAAGCAGGAGTGAAAGAGATGGGAATGGGAGGGAAATACAAGGTGGGGAGGGAGAGAGGGTGAAAGTGTGAAGGAAATATGAAAAGGGGGTTTGTGAGAATTAACGTCATTGTACTCATTTTTTTCTCTCCAGATTGTTCTAGCGTTTGGTAACTACATGAACAGCAGTAAGAGAGGACCCGCCATCGGATTCAAGCTTGAATCACTACAAAGGGTAAGTACTGCAGAGATGTCACCAAAATCAATCCGGAGATCGGCAAAGCATATTCACAATCAAGCTTAATGTAGGTCGACATAATGGATCATATTTATGTATGTATATAATTCATATAATATGTAACACGGGATTTCATATTATTTTGAGATGATGTTTAATACAGCCCCTCAAAAGTGTGAAGCCAAACTTTGCCAAAGAATTTATGGCAAAATTTCACTTAAATTGTCTAATGGTGTGAAAGAGGTTGTCGTATAGCATACACTTCTGGAAGGATTTTCCAAACAAAGAGGAATATTTTTTCCAATTTGAAGAGGAATATTGATGAAAGCAAGCAAAATTTAGGTTCAGCGTTGTACGCAAAAAAAATAATTATGTGATCTTTCATCGATTTTCGTCTTCATATACATTTATTTGAAAAAATCCTTTCAGATGTGCGTGTTAAATGACATCATTAATTTTTCACATCTTTATACAATTTAAGAAAAAAGTTATCATGTAATGTGTGGAGCTCCCAACACTCTCTTTAAAGAAGGTTTAAAGGTCTCAAGTGAACGTCAATCTCTTGAACCAAACTGCGTGGGCGAGACGCGATGTAATATATGATGTTATGATAAATTCTCCCCATAGTTTTGTCTAGTTGTGATAATGTTGTATTGCATGGTTTAGGCGGATTAGGAGGATTATATATTCCTCTACCTAACAACAAAATAATGAGAAATTAGTAGAAATTAACGCACACAAAACCAGGCGTACTATTATTTCAAATATGTGGTTTTATTCGCTCCATGACAATCGATCTTCTACCAAAATCAATTGATAATGAAAAGTATGGAAGTAAAAGTGGTAAAACGTTATACAAATGTCTATTTTTGCACATGATACTCTAGAGTACACCCTTTATTGATTTTCTGTTTGACCAGTTGACGTTCGTGAAGTCAACGGATCGTAGTCATAACTTTCTCCATTACCTGGTCGAGGCGGTCAACCGATGTTACCCTGACATCAAGGACTGGTACAACGATCTCCAGTTCGATGATCTCAAGTCAGGTATGACTCAATGGCGTTATTCACTTATAATTATGTAGAGTTGGATTAGGAGAGTATGTGGGTGTGGGGGAGGGGGAACGTCTTTGGTAAATCCATAACAAATTTTTTAGATATTTTGCCGGGATTCATGGGGAATCCGAGGGAATTTTTTTTAAACAGATTGGGAGATTGGGAGATGACCGAACCCCATGCATGCTAATGAGGAAAATGTATACACCCTCAGCCCCTTTACATATATATCCTGGATTCGCCACCCTTGATGAGGCTGGTTCTCAAATATAATTATTTCCACAGTGTTATGGGATATGTTATGCCAATTTTTGTTCAATCCATACTTTCCAGAAAAACGCATTATTTAAGACAGAGGATGCAAGGGTCTTTTTTCATATCTGATTACTCTTTTTGCAACTTAGTTGAAAGACTGATGTCTGTCATGGTGACAAAGGACACATCATCTGACATGTATAATCCCTGGTCAAAAAGAAAATTTGCAAGTCCCATTATGGTACCTGCCAAATCATGTCAAAGTATATCTTCCAAAAGATACCAGTAGACAGAGGTATAATCCTTCGAAGCTGATCGCCATGTCCTATGTATTATTTTCATAATTGTTTTATTATTTTGTTGAATACAATTATTTTGTTCATTTTTCATGATTTCTTTTCAACTTATTTCATTCTGTCTTTCTACAGGATCTCTGGAAGCTCTGACAATAGACATCCAAGGACTACGTAAAGGCCTGGAGCTTGCCAAGTTTGAACGGGAAAGACAGATGAACAACCCTGTCATTGGAATATCCTTTACAAAAGACCTTTTTGTTATTCAATGGTCTACAACTTTCAGTCAATTTATTATTATTTATTTTAAATAGTGAAATGTTACATAATCCGAAAGGGATTTTTGTAGGAAATGTAATAGGGTATTGATATTGCTCTTAAATTGATTTCTTAAAATCTTTTCCTGAAATCTTTTCCATAATGTTCATAGAGTTATTCATAATGACCGTCACTGACGGACAGAGTACATATTTTTTTTAAGCGTTGATAACAATTTTACTCTTTCTTATTTACCTCTAAGAAATCATACATACATACATACATATTGGTATTTATTTAGCGCCTTTACGTGCATTACACTCTAAAAAATAACAATTACAAAGAAAACAAATGAGTTTTTTAATTTCTCTTAGAAATCCAGTAAATATAACATGCAACTTGGAGAGCAATAACAAACACGTCAGCCTGTTAGGCGACATAACCCAACATAGATAAAAGGCCTTCTTTTCGATTTGATTAAGGGTGGAATCATAAACGAGAAATCAAGAAGTATACACTTATAGGCGTCTGTGAACGTTTTTCTTTCCAGTCATCACTAGCTCCTCCTTCCTTTTTCTTCTCTTTTACCATTTTAGGCATAAACATGGGGACGATGATTGAGTATTGTGTTCCAATGTGATGTAATCCTCTTCCTCCTCCCCCTTCTTTTCTTCCTCCTCTTCGTCATACTCCCTCTCTTTCTACCTATTCTCTCCTCTTCCTCCTCCTCCCCTCCTCCTCCTACTAGTCCTCTTCCTCTTCCCCATTTCTTTTCCTTTCTTTATTTTGAATCATCTCTCACGTGTTCCTCCAAGAGTCCTGTTTAATAGTAAGTTCCTTTTGACAAAGGTGAAATGGGTATAACACATTCTGATCCTTGACTGCTATATCCACCAGTTCTACATAGGCGCAGCGGACACCATCCACGCCCTCTCGGAGGGTTTCAAGAAGATGGAAGAGATCTACCAGTACACCTGCAAGATGTTTGGTGAGAATGCCGACCATGTCGAGCCTGTCAACTTTTTCAAGCTCTTCAAGGGTTTCAGAGACCAGTATCGGGTAAGATTTTCAATTTGTTATCAACATGGTCCGGAATCCATATTTAAAGAATTGCGGAGCCTGAGCAACTTTAGTCTAAACAAGATTGAAATGTCTTGCTAAGTTTGAACTTAATACTGATGGAAAATCTTATAGCATAAGCCTGGCATAATCAAATCGCTCGTCTGTATTCTGAAGTTGATCATTAGTTCCATTGTTCATTGGCTGTCCTCATGGTGGGGGTGGGGGGGCTCCACTGCCCCCGTTCTTTAAAGAAAACTCTTTTTTTGTCGATTTATGCGAACATTGAATCGCCTTTTAAACTCTTTAAAACCGTTTTAATCACCACCCTTCTGACAAAGCTGGATCCTTTTTGAGTGTTGCTATTGTATCACATTTGTTGTTGTTTTTCTTTTCTTTTCTTTTGTCTTTGAATGATTTAACCTTTTTTGTCTTGTTTAAGGCTGCTGAAAGAGCGAACAGTAAACAACCAATTGAAGTAGCTCCCAAACGTAAACCAGCCAAGAAAAAGGACTCTTCCAGCACCAAGCAATTCGGCCTTCCGCAAGAACTACCTTCCGCCGGCGTCTCGGGTCGTCTCGGGCTCTTCCGGCGCTCGACCCAGAACAAGGGCTCATACGAGGTCAAGACCAAACCATCACAACAGACATCGTCAGCGCTGCCGTCGCCCGACGAATCGTCAACGAATTTGAGACGGGATTCACCGTCGTCCTCCGACTCGGGCATTGCATCAATGGCGTCATCGGGCGATAGCGGTTCAACGCGAAGCATTCCGTATGTGACAGTGGACGGCAACGATTCATCGAAGACTGGAGGGGTCGTCATGACTGCCAACGGACATGAACATAATAAAACGCAGACGACCGGTGCGGAAGGCGGAGACAATGCCGGTGACGGGAATTCGAATTTCTGGGGATTATTCAGCGGACTGAAGTAAATAACTCCAGTAAAAGCTAGAACCCATTCTTATACTTGAGCGTTATCTTACGGAGATGTAAACATGATCTACTTTGTTTCCAGATAACACTATTCTGCACCCATTCAGCAGGAAAGAGCCAGTGTTCATTTCTGCTTCTTTACATAAGGCCATTCCTTTAATGGAAGACTGTGACGTCTCACTTGTATTCTTTGCTCAAAATGATGGACAGAGGCACTAACCGTGAAAGGTTCATTGTGAAATCGAAAAAGAATTATTCCATGTAATGATGGTCCTGCTTCAATTGTGGACTTGATCGTTCCTGGCACTATGAAGACTTTACAGTCAAGTTGTATGATTAAAGACTTTAAAGATACAACTTTGTATGAACGTAGAATATATAAAGTATTTAAAAAGTAAAGTATTTAGGTCGATAACTTCCGATTTTCAAAGCTTTATTTTTCTAGTTGTCAGAGAGCTGTTATATACTCCTCTGACGGAAATTTAAGTAGCATATACTTGAAATTATTGTAATCTATGGCTAATAAGCCTCCTTTGATATATATTTCATCTATTTCATTTTTCACTTCCGACAGGGTCTTTAAAGATATAAAAGATTGCTATGTTTTAGTATGGAAAATAGTTGAGAGTGAGAGAATAAGAGAGAGAGAGAGAGAAAGAGAGAGAGAGGGGAGAGAGAGAGAGAGAGAGAGAGAAATGGGATGGGAGAGAGAGAGAGGGATAGAGAGAGAGAGAGAGAGAGTAATTGAGATAAATCAAATTTGGATGGAAACAGGATCCCATATAATGATGCATTCAGATTAGTTTTTATATGATCAGCATAATTCTTTAAAAAGAATATTAGGGATAAAAGGTTTGGTTCATTTAAAGACATAATCTCTTCCTGAAAAGTAATAATGGTAGGTGTGATCAATCATGTATCTTTTCTCTTTTTTAAATATATATTGACCAATGGCCAGCTATGAGTCGAGTGGGAGAGGGGGAAATGTGAGAGGGTGGGAGGGAGCCAACATAAAAAACACGACCCCCTACGGTCCTACCAAAAGACTTCCTCCATATAAGCCCTCCATTCCTTACTCATACGATTGCCATATTGTATCGCATTTCACCTATATATTACTTAGTAAAACGTTTACCCCCAATCGGCTCGCCTATATAGCTGAGACGTTGAGCCGTACTTAATTATTTCAAATTCATTTTGAATATGTGTATTCCACAATCATAAGATGATGTCACCTAGTCGATTGCTAGTTTTGATTTTCAAGGTTTTAGATTTCGAGTTTTTCACTCCTTAGACAAACACTCACAATGGCATTTAATCTATACTTTTGTAACCTATGGCTTGTAATATTTCCTTTGATATATAAAATATAGGCCCCATGGAAGACCACTACTTATTGGTGAATGGGCTACACTGACAAAGATTAGAAATACATTTAAAAAAATCAAAAACAAAAATCATCTAATCCATTTTTCACTTCTGACAGGGTCTTTAATGACAGGACCCAATCTTGTCACTGATTTAAGCTAATCCCTAGAAGCAATTTACGTCATACCCTGTGAGAAAGCAATTGAAAACATAGGTAATTTACAAAATGGCCCCAGGATCTAAATCATTTTTTCATGAACCGTTTCTATATCTTTATCCATTTAAGGGGGGCCCCGAATTTTCATCACGGAATTTACTTTAATAAAGAAGCCACTTAGAATTATAGATATTTCGCTGTATTGGTAAATTAAAATCTAGATAGTATGATTTTGGGTCATAAAAAAACGTGTAAATGAATCATTACATTATATCATATGTAGAAAATGAATATTATGATAACGGTACGAAGTTTACACGTAGGTATTAGTTTTGAATAAACGATGTTCTAATCATTAATGTTGTGCTTCGTTTAAAATAGATTGTAATAATTGGTATGTCTTCCTTTCATTCAAAACAGTAATAGAAAATATCTGATTATGTATATTTACAAATGCAGTCATTTTATTTTGTTTAATTAATTTTGCAATGTACATCGCCATTTACAGATAGATATGAGGGAAATAGATATAGTATATTTCAAACTTAATCTTCTTATGCTGGGCAGTATTTTTGAGATATTGTAAATATTGCTATAAATAATGTTAAACAAAGAGTATAAAGAGAATTTTATAAACCTAATATCACTACTTTATATTTATAAGTACACGTGATGGTATATTCTGAACATTTCCTATTGGAAAAGGGGCATTGTATTCACATAAATTCAATTTGCGTTCCTTTTTGCAATTTTCTTTGAAAAAAAAACGTCTAGCGATTTGATTTCTAAAATATAGTCATGTTTTCTCAGTAGATATATCGGTCTGAGAATTTTGCCGCTAAACACATACAGATGGGAGGCAATATCAGTGTATGCATAGTTATATCAACACCCCTTGCTTTAAAATATTTTCTCAGTGATTTAATGTTTAATTCACCGAGGTTTCATTCTTTTAAGTCAAACGAAAACCACTCTTTCTGTTATTGACGTTATCACCATGATTTATTACTATTATTTTTTTGGAGATATATCCTGATACAATCATTATGCTTAAGAGATTGTAATGTTGATTTAAAAACAAACAGAATAGTTAATACAAATGGCATCGTATTAATAAATAATAATAATAATAATAATAATAATAATAATAATCACCATACAGAGATTCCGCAAATTCTGACAATCTCTGCATTACTTTTATAATGCATTCCGTTGTGATGTATCACAAATATATCTTGATTGTCAGAAGTCGAAGATCATTATTATTCATATTTGCAATTTTGATCTTTTTTGTAGCAATCGAGTCGGTATGCCATCTGCCAATAAACACCACTGACAGTTTGATAACAGGTGTATTTAAATGGCTTTTTTTTAAACTTCAGCAAATGTATTCTACATGAAATTGACGTACTTGTACATTCCCTTTCATCATGAGTGTTTCAAATCTTTTGATTGTTTATAAGCTCGTTTCTATGACAACACTCTTTGGAACAGAAATGTATTCTAATTCGAGTCTATGAGTCAGATTTATTATCGAATACATGTAGGGGCCAATATTTACTATTGGTAACGACTGGTTTATTATCAACGCAAAACTAATTTGAGCAAAGATAATCAAGTACGGCTATAAATTCTTTAAAGAGTATATAATTCGAATATGATGCCATGCCAAAATAAACGGTAATATGAAAACTGAAAACTAGAACGCAGTTCTGTGTAAGAGGGACGGAGAAAGAGAGAGAGGGGTGAAAGGGGAGGGGAGAGATATGAGAGAGAGATAGAGAGAGAGAGAGAGAGAGAGAGAAAGGGAGGGGGAGAGAGAGAGAGAGAGAGAGAGGAGATGGAGAGGGAGGGAGAGAGGGAGATGTGTGCGAGAGGGGAAGATGTGTGAGGGGAAAGTGAAGTAAGCGAGGAAGATAAATTGAATATATGAACTTCTTGAACAATGATTCTCTTGACAATTCAACAATCTTACCACATGCTCGACTGACATAGCAACAACGAGACAGCGAGAGAGAGAGAGAGAGAGAGAGAGAGAGGGGGGGGATGGGAGAGGAAATTGGAGAGAGCATGTAAGCAAGAGAAAAGGACAGTTTACGACAAATCTGATGCTATATAGGCCTATATCTTGAACAGTAGTTCTCTTGACAACTCGGTAGCTTACTATATGCTTGCCTTGCATAACAACATCTAAGGCTTGCTATGTAAATTCAATCCATAGAGAATGCTGTTTTCATGTCTCGTAATTTTTTTCTTTCGCTCTCCCTCTCTCTATTTCTCAATCACTGCCATGATTACTTAAAGATAAACTTGAGTTCTGGTAATGCGATTGCATTGTGAAAGAAAAGGTGCGGAATGGATCAGAAAAGTTGATCATATAGCATGTAAGTAATGGTGTGTAATGCAAGGTTTTGGAGTCATCAAAATCATCATAAAATTTGGCAGAGTCTTGGTAAAGTAACAATCACTTACACAGAAAGATGTATATGGGACAACACACATGGTGTCGGGGCTAGTACTACCCTGATTTCCTTATCTTTCTTTGCTCATTACTCAGCCAGTATACATTTTCTTCCAAAATTGTTTGGCCCATGACATTTATTTGTAATCTTGAACATTCAGTGTAAGTTTCGTTAGATTCTGTGAGAATTCATTTTCTTTTTATACCAAAACTCAAGTTTATCTTTAAGTTGCTTTCTAGATATTTTGCATATGCACTCTTTCTGGGTATCGGCATGATATAAATCTAGCTTTAATGGCATGAGGATGATATCTGTAAAATACATTTATACCCAATATACTAAAGATAGGCCTGCAAAATTACTTTGTTCACTTTCTTGCTTATATATATATATATATATATATATACTGCAAATGAGTTTTTGTTAAATTATTTTTATGTATAAGCAATTAATATTGAAAACGTTTATTTTATTCAATTGTATGTTCTTAACAAGGAATAAAACGAAATTACTATAACAAAAAAAAGTGTGTGTGCGTGTGTGTTTGTATGTGTGTGAGAGAGAGATAGAGAGAGAGAGAGAGAGAGAGAGAGAGCGAGGGAGAGACACAGAGAGAGACAGAGAGAGAAAGAAAGATTAAAAACTTATATCCGACAGATTCGTTATTTCATGGACCTACGTTCTAGGTTCCATGCAATAGAGGAAGTGGTGAAATATATTTTCATGCAAATTATACATTGTAAGGAAGGTTGTAGCCTCGTACTCGTAGCAATCTCTACGCAAGAATTTGAATTATTGACTGAAAAAAGATATTTAGAAAAAGAGAAGTGGAAGGGAAATAAATGAAGAATAGTGGAGAAAGACGGGGTAAAATATAAATGTAGTCCTTTTCAATTCAATTCAATTCAATTCAATTCAATTCAATTCAAAAGACTTTATTTCCGTTAAAAAACATACAAATATATATATGTGATAAAGTAAACATGTGACAGTTTAAAATATACAAATCATGAGCATTAAATTAAATTAATTTAAACAAACTGTGAAAATGAGTAAAAGGAAAAGGGAGCACCTGTAGGAAGCTTATGTTAGCTTGTTGATTCAGGCGTCCAAATGAATAAAATAATTACACAGATATAATAACATAATAATGAGTATTGCGCATGTATTTGTTCTACCCCCCTCCCTCCCTCCCTCCCTCCCACCCCCCCCCCCCCCCCCCCCACCACCACCTCCCCCCTCCCCCTTCTTTCTCTCTTATGGTAATTTACAAATTATATTTTATTTTAAAATAGGTGTTAAACTAAAACAAATTATAGGGATAATAGATATATTTTAAGATTTTTCTTGAATGAGTTTAAGTAAACATATTGAGTGAGAGAGGATGGAAGAGAATTCCATACTATGGGCCCTGTATACCTTACCGATTGTTGCATGTACTGTTTATCAATATTCCAAATGTGTAACTTTAGACTATTTCGAGTATTATATTTATGAATTTTAGAGTTAGTTTGGAACATAGTGGCAAATGATGATGGTGCATTACCTTTAATACATTTGAATACAAACACAGCATTTTGATATTTATTTAGGCTATAAATATTGAGGGTATTTAACTGTCTAAATAGAGGTTTAGAATGGGCCAAATAATGAGAGTTTGTACGATATCGTAGACAACGCTTCTGAAGTAAAAAATAAGGGTTAACTTAGAATGACTTGTATTTGCCCACACGATGTTACCATATGACAAATAAGAGAGAATGAGTGAATTATAAATCATAAAGAATACATTTCCTGGTAAATAATACTTCGGCTTTGACAATAATCCTGTAGTTTTACTAATCTTTGTAGAGATCATGGCAATATGGGATTTCCAAGACAATGTTTCATCTATGAGAATACCTAAAAATTGAATATTTGAGACTTTTTCAATAATTGTTTGATCAATATATAATGGTGGAACTTGATTTTTCAATTCTTTTTTGTTGCACTGAACTGTTCTAAAAAGAATACATTTGGTTTGTCTAAATTAAAGGTAAAGACCAGTATTGGAAACGCCCCAATTTCAAAAAATGAAATGGAAGCTCTCATTACCAATCATGACTTGTGAAAGAATATGTTTTGACTAATACATGATGATAAAAAATTTGCCGGGAAACCGCCTACTAATTCATATATTTGGTAAAATTTGTTTCTCTCATGGTCTGTGAGAGATATAGGGTAGTCCCATATACATCTTTCTGTGTATAGTGCTTGTAACTTTACGAAGAATGGGCCAAATTTCTTATCATTTTGATGATTCCAGAACCTTGCAGATGCTAGATGCTAGATGATCAACCTTTTTGATTGATTCCACAACGTTTCTTTCACAATGCAATCGCATGACCATAACTGGTCTTTACCTTTAAGCGATAGTTTATTTACCTTTAACCACAGAGATACATTCTTAATGTGTTCAGTGAGTATAAGTTATTATGGCTTAAGAACAAAGAAGTGTCATCAGCAAATTGTACAAATTTTAAGGAATGAGAGGAGTTGCATATGTCATTTTTATATATAAAAGGAAAAACAGGGGGCCTAAATTTGACCCTTGAGGAATTCCAGATTTAATCAGTAATTTGGTAGAACTATATCCATTATATTCAGTAAATTGGTACCTTTGTGAAAAATAACTCTTAATCCAATTCAATGCAATACCTCTGATTCCATAATTAACTAATTTCTTAAAGAGAATGGAAAAATCAATGGTATCAAACGCCTTACTCAGGTCCATAAAGACATCAAATATGAACTGTTTTGAATACAAGGCATTAACAATGATATCATGAACTGATCCTTTACCCTTTACCCTTCCAAACATAATAATGAAGAAAAAAATGCTCTATTGTCCCGGATTCTACTAGAGGGGATCTCTAACATAATATTAAATCCACCACTGAAAGCCTAAATGAGTCGCCCTCTATAGAAAAAAAATAATGATGAATACCGCCATGAAGTTCAAAGGTGCTTATACGCCGCGCGTGATCTCTGTGGGAAAACCCACTTCTATTTATATGCACAAACTGCATTATATTCACAGGATATCTCCTCAAGTGTGATTTTACTATTATAACCATACTTGTATTCAGGTAGACATTGTGAATAGATAATTGATAATAGTACTTTTGATCAAAGTTAGGCTCACCACTTTCGACACATATTTGAAAGTAACGTGAGAACTTGGTAGGACGCACCTGTTGCGAAAACTTCGGATATTGGTAAAATCTACTACGTCAAAGCATAGAGTTTGTGCTTACATGAACTGATTTTGGCTTCTAGTACAAGTTAGCTGATCACACTTTTAAGTTGTATTGGTTATTGGATATATGCGTAGATTGAGCTCGTGTTTGTAATAAGTCAGAAAGCCGATATTTGTACCATGGCTGAGAAGACTGAGGAAGAGAAAGCTCCAAGCTCTTCACACAACCTGACGTGTCCACTATGTCTTGATATCTTTGATGAAGCAACCATCCTGACTTCATGCGGACACACCTTCTGTCGGAAATGTCTCAAGAACTATGACCTGTCCCACCAGGATCTCGATCACATGATCTGTCCTCTTTGCAGGAAGATCACCAAGTTGTCTGCGAAGCGTGTCGATGATTTCCTCACCAACGTGACTGTCAACGGACTTGTAGACGATTACCACGCCAAGAGTGGAGGAATGAACGCTGTCCTTGAGATGCGTCCAAAATGCACTGCTTGCAAGTTTCAGCAAGATGCCGTCTCATTCTGCTGTACATGTAATAACTACATTTGTAATAAGTGTCTGGATTGTCATCAACATCTTACAGTCTTTGAAGATCACGAGATTGTATCCATACAGGATATCATCAACGGGAAGGTCAGTATTGGTCATCTATCCGAGAAGTGCGGCATCCACAAACAAGAGAACAAAGATATGTTTTGTGAGGATTGTAAGGTCCATGTCTGTCACAAGTGCGTGATCGTCGGTCATCAAAATCACAACATCAAGAATCAGGCTGACTTCGAACAGCAGTTACGTCTTAAGGTAAATGGGTTAATTTGACAAAAGAAAATTGCGTTTGGTTAAGGCCTGACAAGACAATATAGGTTCCCATACAATTCGGATAGGGGAAGGTATCATAGACACCGGAGGGGGGCAGAGTGGTTTGATGTCCCCGCATTATTAAAGTGGGGGACAACATTGATTTCAGCCCTCTGGGGCCCCC